CGATAATAGAGTAAACAAAGAATCGGATACTTTATTAGATATTTAAAAGGATTCGATACAACTTATGAGTTTGCATATAAGCTATTACAAGTCATATAATCAATCCTATTCTACCCGATTCATCACCACCCATCTTCCCGGCCTTGAGTCTCTCACGCCTAAGCCAAGTCCTTCCCACGATCACCATCCTTTCCTGAAAGTCAAAGAGGCATAAGTATCCGTTTTACTTATTATATGCAAGTCCATGCAATGCTCTCTAAGCCTTTTAACCACCCGGAACAAAGAACAGATCGGAGAGTGGAAGTATGCGCATCAGTTCGGCCGATTCATGGTAGATCTTCACAGATCCGCTGATCCTCCGCCGAGCTGCATCCCCATTTCAACCGATCCGCCATTCAAACCAAGTTTATGCATGATATGAATGATCCCCCGATACTACAATATCACCCTAATCGTTCTGGACTTCTTCTAAGTCATCGGAACAATCCCTAGGCTAGATCGTACGTATCATATCTCCTTAGGTTCGGACACAAAGTCTAGAACCATCTTACCTTCGATCGCACCGATCGTAACTCTCTCTTAAGTGTTTTCTCTCAAGATGTTCCCGAGAGTTTCTGTATTTTTCTCTAAGTTTTTCCGTGTCCGAATTCGCCCCGAACGCCTTGTATTTATAGGGTTTCGTTTGGAAACCGTTTCTCCAACTATTCTCTAGAAGGCGCCCATTCGGTCCATAACCGCCCGTTTGTAACCGTCATCCGTAACCGCCCAACCGCTCTTCCGTAACCGCCCAACCGTCCTTCCATAATCGCCCAACCGTCCAACCGTCGGACAGTTACCCGAGCTGGGCTGAGCTACCCGGCAGCTGGTCGAGCTAGCTGAGCTACTCGACAGTTACCCGAGCTTAGCTGAGCTACCCGAAAGTACTTCGAGCTTAGTTGAGCTATACGTGAGCTGGTTTGGCTACTTAGCGTGCATTATTCTCCTTTTTCGAGCTAATGGGCAGCTCCTATCTAGACTTGTCCGAGTTCCTCCTCCTATTCTCGGACCCAGTCTCATCCGACGATCCTATTGAGGATCGCGGGTGTTACAGCAGCTGTCTCGCAGTTTTTGATCTTCCTTAGTACTTGATTTCCACGTTTAGTACTATAAGATCTTTTGCCTTCTCTGATTTTTCAAACTTTGCAGGATCAATGTTTGGAGGCAGCTCAAAATCTCCAACTATGCCCACTTGAGTGTCTCTTCCAGCTGTTGCATCTTCCTCTTCTGTAGTAGGTGGGTCTCTTAGCAGCTGCTCATCATTCAAGATACTTTTCAGCCCTAGAACCCCAAAGTGAGCCAACATTCTGACCTTCCACAAAGAGAAGTCACCGGTTCCATCAAATCTGTCCACCTCGACCCGAGTGTTAGTGTTACTCATCTTGTAAGTCTTCTTGTAACCTTTGATCTGAAACTCTTTAGCAGCTCTACACCAGCCTGGAGCTCTAATACCACTTGTAGAGAAATTAAAAGACTTGAACGGTGACTTGTGAAAGAAACAAATACAAACAATTGATAACCGAGTTCACGGCTTAACCGCTACGTCTCGGGGGAGGACTCTTGCTCCCAAAGCTTCACTATATCAAAGGAGATTACAAACACCACTTAACTTGTGATGTTGTCTTTTTGGTTTCAGATACAATCTCAAGAAGAACAAAGATAAAAGACAAAGAACAAAGAAGGAGAAAGCTTGTTGAAGAAGAACCCTTTTTTTTTTTTTTTCCTTTCTCTAGAACTCTCTTATGTCTTGTCTCATCTACCTCCACTTCCTCTTTATCTCACGTAGAAATAGTGTATGTGATGGGCCACTCTTGTTCTTCTTTCTCTTCTTGTCAATTTCGTATGGGCCTTAATGGGCCAGATTTTGTTTGGTTTTGTCAAACCCATCAACATAATCAAACAGGAACTGGTTTTCTCCGATCAATGAACACTTGTTCTTACAAAACTTTTACAAATATCAGATCGGTTAGTGTAAAAAGCAATAAACGATTTTTTGAGTTAAGAATGCAGGACCTGAATATTTCAACAGGGGCACAGTCTAATATTTGTAAAGCAATTAACATTGAACAAGTATCGAAAATCCACAATACTAAAATAGATGATTAAGGAACGGAGATTGACGGTGGTAAACAGAGTTGAGAACTTTGATGATCTCTCTCCTTAACTCAAAAATCGCCATGTAGTGCGACGGTTTGATGACAATTAGAGTCCCAGGATAAAACTGTTTCTTCTTTTGATTCGCAACACTCAAATCAAAAGCTAATCGAACACTAGCCTTGTGTTGTACTCTCAGACTCAAACTAAAGAAGAGAAGAAGAGGAAGGAGATTATGTTGGTGAACGTGTGTCTAAATGAGAAACAATGGCCATCGTTTTATACCCAAAATCTCAACGTACACACAATTAAGAGGAGGATACGACACTTATGAGAATTGATTTACAATTTCAAAGTCAAAAGAATTACTCCACCTTAATTGTCGTTGATTGATTTTGTTGTTACAAAACCTAATATTAAAGGAGATATTTATTGATTTAAATAACAAATTTAATGAAAACAACTTAAGAAAATAAGAATAATCTTATGGCTTTTAAGCCCATTTCCCATTTCTCAAATCCCAAATACAGCCCATGTGTAATTGGGTTTCTCCTTTTAACTTTCAAAGTAGACCATTTGATTCTAAGTCAAAATTCCAAGTTTTACAAGCTACCCACTTCGGACATCCATTTCTCATTCATACGAGCTTCGTTTTTGACATTCAAATACACTACCATGTAATGCACGCAGCGAAGATTACATCGTGCCCAAGAACCGGTCATTCCGATGAACTTCTTCACTGGAAAATCCACCGGAAAGTGATCAAAACCACTTCGTCAAAAAAACAAGTTCCAACAGTTTCTTCTTGGTACCAACCTCCGCGAGATGAAATCTGCATCTCAAACGAGGTGAGAAAAGTCCCGCCGGTAAAGGCAATGAGTATAAGGTGATGATGAATCCTCCAGTCTGTGAGAAGCTAAGGCCTCATTTAAGCTTTTTCTAATGTAGAAGGCCATTGTGTTTCTTATGCCCATGTTCCGTTATGTCCACGTTAGTAATTAAATATTTTTTTTCTTCTTTTTAACGTCTTTTATTTAATCAGAAAATGTTTACAAAATTATGAAGTAAACAATTCCTTAAGCAAACAAGAGGATACAAAATTAGTCGGAGAACTTAGTCAGTTTATCCGCAACTAGTTCTATAGTAACCACATTAAAGGAAATACCTGCTTCCAGATGTCAAACAGATTTTCTATTGATTTTATGACATCTTACTTGTGAATATATATTTTTCAATAAACACTTAAAAAATTATTTAAAGTGAACCTTGATTAGATTGCTGAGAAAGTGTAGTAATGTCAAAATTTTGAGATGTCAAACAGATCGTTTTCAAAACAATTGTGCAATCTTATTATATAAAGTATGGTTTTCAAAGTTAATAATTCATAGGATCGTGACACGTGGTAAATCTATCGATCTTAGATTTTGACATGTGTAAAACAAAATTTCTTTTTTAAAATAAAAAAAAAATAATTGTAAGTAATTATAAATTTAAATAATTTTAAAAATGTAAAATATAATTATAAAGATAATTGTAAATAATTAATATTTCTATAAACAATTTAAAAAATGTCAAAAGATAATAATAAGGAAATTATATGTTTTTATAATTAGAAATATATATTTTAATTAAACAAGAAAAATATCAGGCAAATTTATTAAAAAATAAACATATGTTATTATAAAACTAATATGTTCTATTTTTGTTTCTCAAAATTAGTAATTAACAGTATCATGAACCGTTATCAGTCAAATATTTTATCATGTATCATGATTTAATTTAAAATTTGATATTATTTATCTCAATTTCCTTTCCAATTAGAAATATATGATGATTTAATTAAACTAATCCTCATATTATTTATTTGAGTTTATTTTTTCAATTAGAAATATGAGAGATCAATTTTTTTTTCCTTTTTGTAATATTTTTTTACTTAACAGTGTTTTTTGTTTGTCCTCAATTATGATTGTAGTATTCTTAAATTGTTTATTTCAAATTTTCTTTTCAGATTTAAATTATCATAGATTCATATATCATCGTTTTTATAATTTTTATTTTTAGTTTAACTGTTGTATCTTTAAATTATTTATTTTAGTTTCTACGTTCAGTTTATATTATATAAGATTTATAATATATCATAATTCTAATGATTTTAGATAGCGACAGTGTCATGATTTATATTACAAATTTATATTATTTATATCAATTTTATTTTCTAATTATAAATATATGATGATTTTAAGTAAAGTTTTATATTGTTTATTTGAAATCCTTGAATATGTAAGAACTTATATGCTTCTTCTTTGTTTTTGATATTTTGAATTTAGTTATACTATGTCAAAATTGTTTATTTAAATTTCTATGTTCATATTTGAATTATATAAGATTCATAAATCATCGTGCTTATAATTTTTTGAATTTATCAATTTTTATTGATGGATCATAAAGTCATTGCAATCGAGTATATAGGAATCGAACCCGCAACGTTAGCTTGGAAGGCTAAGGGATTTAGTCGATTTATCATATTTATATTTTTAGCGTGTCTAATTAAAAACCATTTTGGTTTTATTCGCCAACTTTATGATGAATATTTTTAACTTTAGTTCTTCATATAGTATATCATAAGTTATTGCTATGTGATATATCTTTCATTCGAAATAATTTTGAATTAATAAATTTAGTGGTTAAAGAAACAATGCAACAGTGAAAAAGTAAATATTTTTTTACTTTTGTAAGAATTTTTTTACTTACAACGTTGTTAATTCATCTTTTGTTAAATTTGATTTTAGTTTTTTAAAAATTAAACTCGTCCATTGGACGGGTCCTTATCTAGTTCAGTATAATCTGTAGTTAAATCGTTAACAAATTATCGATTTAATAACACAAGGTCCAAGACAGTGTCCGGCAACTCTATCTCATCAAATGCTCAACTTTTTTTTTTGTAGTAAGAACATTAATTGGGTGCATTAATGAAGGTCACACAAAAGAAGGGTTATAGAAGGTAAATTAAAGGTGATTGCATACAAAAGTATGTCTTTCAGTTTTTTTCACAGAGGAAGCTCATGACACTCACCAAAGCAGCACGAATGAAGTTCAAGTTTTTAATTAGGCTTCACATCATCTCCTCAAAATTTATATCATCTCATATGTTCGATCTTGTTTTCATGTGACTCTCCTCTTCTCTACCGTGAGTCTCTTCAATTTCCTAACCCTTTGTTAACGATCATATATACCTTGTTTCTCGCCGTACTATTTCATCCCAATTTTTACTTTTACCACTTACGATAATATATCATGAAGTCTCTTCTTCTCCTTGCCTTTTTCCTCTCTTTCTTCTTCGGCTCTCTCTTGGCTAGGCATTTACCAACACCCTCCCATCCAAGTATGTATGCTCCTCTCTCTCACTCTCCTTCCCCACCTCTTTCACTTATCTTCATGCTCTCTAACTTGTTCATGTTTGTGTGCATGTGCAGGTCATCATCATGTGGGAATGACCGGGACATTAATGAAGCGTCAGAGGAGGAGGCCGGACACGGTGCAAGTGGCTGGGTCTAGGTTGCCAGACTGCTCACACGCGTGTGGCTCATGCTCCCCATGCAGACTTGTCATGGTTAGCTTTGTGTGTGCATCGCTCCAAGAGGCTGAGACTTGTCCAATGGCTTACAAGTGCATGTGCAACAATAAGTCCTACCCCGTCCCATGATCAGCCTTTCCTACACTTATTCTATGCATTCAACCGTTTTGTTTTCCTTTTGCTCCTCATGTGTACGTATAAGATGCATCTTTAATTTCTTTCTTTTTTTCCATTATGTTGCTCTAATTCCTCCACTCAATAGGAATCTTAAACACAGATTAGTTAATTCAGATGGATTAAAGGAAATATATGGAAATATGAAAGCCACTCACCTTTTTGGGCTCTCTAACTGTATTATGGTCAGATTGATTGACAAAAAAAAAAAAAAAAAAACTGTATTATGGTCCATGAGGCCGCATTTAAGACTGCAACAACAAAAGTTGTACACAGAATTATATTTAAAAGGCAACAACAAAAGTACGTATACGTTGTTACCACCAAACTTTGGAGGCTCGCTAATAATAACCACACTACCCATTTGTTATACACCCTTTATTTTCAACCATATCATCTCACCTTCGTTAAATGTTCCCACAATTAGCTCAGTATTTTACTATATACATACATACGCATTCCCTCCACAAGATCAAACAAACACACGAGCTTTCTCCTCTACAACAAAAACAAACAATGGCTTCTTCACTTATCACATCCGCAGTCATTGTCGTGCTTTTAAGCCTACTGCTTGGATCTGCAGAGCAAGTGAGCGGACTACATCACGTTCCCAAGTCCCCTAAGACCACTGATGTCAAACACCCTGACTTTCTTGTAACCATTGAGCCCAAACCAACTATTCTTATCCCCGGTGTTGGAAGGTTCTTGCTTCCTCCCAAATGTAAGAAGCCGTTCTACCCTTACAATCCTGTCACCGGAGCTCCTCTTACTGGTGGGGGAATCCCATCATATAATGGTGGCCAAGGGGCGGGACCTCGCACCCAACTCCCTGGCGGCGATGATACGCTTGTCCCAAACCCCGGATTTGAAGCTCCAACCCCGACTATTGGAGCTGGCGCAGGAAGCAACGGCCAAGTTCCACCAGTGCCACTACCCTGAGTACTATTAATTTGTCAACAAATAAGCATACCTTAGATGCAAACGGGTCTACTTTGGTGTCTTGAGTCTTGGTTAGATAAGTAACCCTCTGCTTTACTAGCCGTTTCGTTAGTCATATGTTTGCCATCTCTTTTTCTTTCTGTATCTCTCTATATCTCCTTCAGAAAGAGAGAATCTTGTGTCATGTTCTTCAGATGAATTCATTTAATTTTCACATACCATTATATTAAATAAACGAATTGCTCGGCAGTAACATGCAAAGACTCCATTGAAAGAACAAGATATACCGCCTGGTTTAGCATTGCGGAGCCCACAGATACGAACTGCGCAAACTAAACGTTTCACACCAACGATGAATCAGTAGACGAAATCAATTGTAGGGTTGACGCACTCAATATCTTGAGGGTGATGAAACCAAAAAAGGGAAACGAAAAGAAAATCAACAGACACCGAAAAGCCATGGTTTCCGGTCTTCATAAATTCTATGATATCTTTGAGTCGTTTTGTTAATGTACAAAGTGACAAATGGAGGTTGATAATGTCAGTGCTGATGCCCCAGAGGGGATGTCCCGACGTTAACGGTGGATTGATAATCCCAAAGTTTAAGAGCAGCAATTTTTAGAAATAAAAGGTACAAGAATAGCTCAAAATTAAAAGATATGCAAAAATAATTTTGTAGCTATTCATTCTACAATCTACAATTAACACAAGGGTTCATGAGTTGGTGATTAGTCCCCACCACTACTGTTTCAAGTTCAACAATGTAGCCAGACAAAAGTCGACAATGCTCCTAAAAGAACAGAGCGACTCATATACATCAGATAAAGATGAAACATTCCAGAAGTACGATGATAGTAAGAGAAAGAGAGAGAGAGAGAGAGAGAGACTAGACACACATTGGAGATTGGACAATGATAGTATTACATACTCTCATCATTATTCAGAATGTTGCGGATAAGTGTTGTGAATGGCTTACCCGCAGAAGAAACAAAGCAATAAAGTGAAAGAATTCACATATCATAGCGTAATCTTGAATGAGAATCTACGGGGAGGTAGAAGGAGAAGCAACTCGATCAGCGTCTATCATCGACTTTATATAGTACTCTCCCGCTTTGTACGAGGACCTCACCATTGGTCCGGATGCTACGTATCTGAATCCCTGTTTACCACCAACACATTCCATTTTAGCCTTCTTTCCCATTGCATTTCTCAGCTAATAAAACTTAAAAACAGGGAAGGGAGCATTACCATTTCCATGCCAAGAAGCCGATACCTCTCAAAGGCATCTGGTGTCACGTACTCAGCTACTGGCATGTGCCGTTTAGACGGTCGCATATATTGACCAAAAGTCATAACGTCAACCCCTGCTGCTCTGACTTTCTCCATTGTCTTAACCACTTGATCAGGAGTCTCACCACATCCCAGCATTACAGAGGTCTTTGTTAAGGTGCCAGCAGGAGCATGCTCCTTAGCCATCCTAAGCACATCGAGTGACTGCTTAAAGTTAGCACGATGATCCCGCACAAAACTCTGAAGCTCTTCAACAGTCTCAATGTTGTGAGAAAGGACATCAAGCCCTGACTTGGAAACCTTCTCAACACATCCACCATCTCCACGGAAATCAGGAACTACATCATCGAAAAAAACCGAAAACAAATTCAAAAAAAAAATCTCATGATCAAAACCTCAATCCCACATGACATCATTATATTACCTAGTGCTTCAATCAACATCTCCGGCTTCAAGACTTTCAATCTCTGTACTGTTTCAGCAAAATGGCCACTCCCTTGATCAGGTAAATCATCTCGATCTACACTGGTGATCACCACATAATCTACCCCCCAAGATGCAATTGCTTCAGCCACATTGTTAGGCTCATTTGGATCAGGCGGTGGAGGTGTACGCGATGTCTTCACATTACAAAACCTAAAATAGAAGCCCCTTTCAGAGAAAAGAGAGAGGAAAGATCTTGATGAATTGAGAGGAGGTACCTGCAGCCGCGTGTACACGTGTCCCCAAGGATCATAATCGTAGCGGTGGCGGTTCCAGTTTCGCCACCAGACCAGCACTCACCGAGATTGGGACATTTAGCTTCCTCGCAGACGGTGTGAAGCTTAAGGTCTCTCAATTTCTTCTTGATCTGGACATACCTCTCGCCGCCGGGAATAGATTCCTTCATCCATTTAGGTTTCGGGAGAGGTTTCTTCTTGGTTCCAACCTCCACGGAATAGGTATCGCCGTGGATGAAATCAGTTAGGGAAGGCGACTCATTCGCCAGCCGCGCTCGAAGAGCCTCGAGACTCTTGGGAGATTGCGTTACGGTTACGGGAGTTACCGGCGAGGAAGAGGAGAAGCATCTCGACGCCGGACGGAGGAATCGGGAGACTAGGGCGGAGCGCGAATGCATCTCAATCGTCGTGAGAAAAAAGTCCCGATTTAGGAGGAATGAGTTTAAGGTGACGATGAAACCCTCTAGTTCTATAAGAAGGTCTCATTTGGGCCTTTTGCTTGTAAACAAAAGCCCATTATATTCCTTGTGATAAATAAACGTAGGCCCATTAAAAAGTTTCTTTCTCTTTCGTCTGTCCGTCAAATTTTGAAAACACACAACTTTAGAACAATCGCATTTACACTCTCTCTCTCACTTGCAAAAACACATTCCTTTTCTCTTTCATTAAGATAATATAAAGAACACAACTTTTCTCTTACTCACCTTTCTCCTCCGTCTATCGAACCGGATTTGGTTCTACCAAAGAAGTAACAGAAATAAGATGAGAAGCAGAAGAACAGAGTTAAGATGAGAAGAGAATTGGAGAAGGAAGAAGAAATTAGACTCTCGTCATTGTTTTGATCTTAATCGATAAAATGTTTTCCCAGGACAAAGGAAGCCTAAATACGGAAACGTAAGAGACAATGACATAAAACGTAAATAAGCTAAATAATAGGACTTGGGCTTCTAGACTTCTTCTTCAATCGTCAGGCCCAATAAGGATCCACTCCAGGATCGTATCACACTCACATCGTCAGGATTCAGAATGAGATCTGGAAGAGACAACAACATCTGCTTCCTGGGTTTTCTTGTCTTTTTCCTTATCTCCTATCTCTCCTTGTCACTTGCTCTTACCAATCCTGACGATCGATGGTATTCTCTTTTGTTCCCCTTTGTGTAATGGTAATGTTAATATAGCTAATCGAACCATGGTTGTTTGCTTCAGTTGCGGCTATTAACAGCCTCTTCCTTGCACTGGAATCTCCTCTTCTCCCTGGTTGGGTTGCATCTAGAGGTGATCCATGTGGCGAGAGCTGGCAAGGTGTTTTATGTAATGCTTCCCAAGTAGAAACCATGTAAAAGAAAAAACGACACCTTCCATCTTCTTCTCACTTTTCTTTATCATTCTTCTAACAATATGCTCACCCTTTTTCAGAATTCTCATCAGTTCCAATCTTGGAGGAGAGCTTGGTGTGGTTTAAACATGTTTACTTCTCTTAAAGCAATGTACTTTCCTCTCTAAGTTTTACTATCACTTTTGTTTCTTTAATCTGCTTCTCTTCTCATTATTACCTTTTTGATGTCTTGTCTTTCTCAGGGATTTTAGCAACAATCACATTGGAGGAAGTATCTCATCAACGCAAAACTTTTAAAAAACTTTACTAGATTTTTTTAAGAGTTTTTAAAGGGTTCTTAAAAATTTTACTAGGATTTTTAAATGTAGTTTTTGGTTGGGAAAAAATTTCTTACAGGAAAAAAATTTTGGAGGGGGAAATTTTTTTTTTGGGCGGAAAAAAAAAAATTTTGGTGGGAAAAATAAATTTTGGTGCCAAAATTTGTTGGCGAGAAAATTTCAGTGTTCTCATTAGATAAGGGTAATTTGGTCATTTTGTTCAAGAGAATGTGCATTTTTAAAAATGGACAATAGAAAAGGGTAGTAGACAAAGGATATTTATGCAAATCTCCCAAATATTAATTAATTTTAAATCATTTTGTTTTCACCTCTCATCTAACATAAACAAGATACTATATATATTTTTATTAAACAATATGTATTTTGATAGAATAAAAAATATGTAATTAGTTGTAAAGTTTCCATTTTACCTTGATGAAAAATATAAAATTATTTATTCTAATTTGATAAAACAATTTAAATATGCATACTAAATTAAATTACTAAATTTTATATGGACCACGGGTTAAATCTACCAACACTAAAAAATTAAATAATATAATTTAAATAATAACTTTAGAAAAATGGAACCTGTAAAAATAAAATGTTTCTTACGGGTTAAATCCTATAATGTAATAAATATTATGTATGGACCTTCTTACTTTACAAAACCAAATTCTTTTTTATAAAATTCTATGTACATCAAACAAACCATAAATTATGTATCTTATTATATAAAGTATGGTTTTCAAAGTTAATAACTCATATGATCGTGACACGTGGCAAATCTATTGATCTTAGATTTTGACACGTGTAAAACAAAAATTTCCTTTTTAAAATAAAAAAGAAGATAATTGAAAGTAATTACAAATTTAAATAATTTCAAAAATGTAAAAGATAATTATAAGAATAATTGTAAATAATTCATATTTCTATAAACAAATTTAAAAAATGTCAAAAGATAATAATAAGGAAATTATACATTTTTTATATTTCATTTAAACAAGAAAAAATCAGGCAAATTTATTAAAAAGAAAACATATGTTATTATATATTAATTTAAAATTTGATATTATTTATCTCAATTTCTTTTTCAATTAGAAATATGTGATGATTTAATTAAATTAATCCTCATGTTATTTATTTGAGTTTATTTTTTCAATTAGAAATATGTGAGATCAATTTTTTTTCCTTTTTGTAATATTTTTATACTTAACTGTTTTTTCATATTTAAATTATCAAAGATTCATATATCATCGTGTTTATAATTTTTTATTTTAGTTTAACTGTCGCATCTTTAAATTATTTATTTTGGTTTCTACGTTCAGTTTAAATTATATAAGATTTATAATATATCATAGTTCTAATGATTTTCGATAGCGACATGTGTCAATATTATTTTCTAATTAGAAATATGTGATGATTTTAAGTAAAGTTTTATATTGTTTTATTTGAAATTCTTGAATATGTAAGAAACATATATGCTTCTTTTTTGTTTTTGATATTTTGAATTTAATTATACTATTTCAAAATTGTTTATTTCAATTTCTATGTTCATATTTGAATTATATAAGATTCATATATCATTGAGCTTATAATTTTTTGAATTTATTAATTTTTATTGATTGATCATAAAGTTATTGCAATCGAGTATATAGAAACCGAACCCGCACGTTAGCTTGGAAGGCTAAAGAATTTAGTCGATTTATCATCTTTATATTTTTAACGTGTCTAATTAAACACCACTTTGGTTTTATTTACCAACTTTATGATGAATATGTTTAATTTTTGTTCTTCGTATAAGTATACCATGAATTATTGTTATGTGATATATCTTTCATTCGAAATAATTTTGAATTAATAATTTTAGTGGTTAAAGAAACAAGGCAATAGTAAAAAAATAAATATTGTTTTTACTTTTGAAAGAAAATTTCTACTTACAACGTTGTTAATTAATTTTTTGTTAAATTTGATTTTAATTTTAAAAAAAATAAATCCGTCCATCGGACGGGTCCTTATCTAGTATCAATATATATTAGCAAAGAAAAAAATAAAACTAAGACGACATGTTATAAATTTTAAATTAGATATATAATACTTAAGAAAAACATAGTCACGCAGTGTACCGCAGATTAAAATATAGTATATTGACAACTAATAAGGGTTTTAGAAGTATAATATATTGTTACTAGAGGCCAAAATAAAAAGGCCCATATGTATTCGGAGGCGGTTCTTCAGAATAAAACTCGTCGGATGTTTAGGGCTATTTATTCTCTTCTTCGATTAGTCTCGTCGGATGTTTGGTTGTGTCGATTTCTCCATCTCCAAGTTAGTTCGTTCTTCCGTCTCCAAAAGGCTAATCCAGGCACGAAGGTTATCGCGGCGGGGCTGCTTCTTACCGGCTGAGGTATCGGTGATTTCTTATCTCTCTCCAAAAGGTTAATTAAGTAGTTGTTTGATTTCTCATCATATTTGTCGTATCGATACAGATCTCTTGTTTCCCCTAATTTATCTCCGCCTTATTTTGGTCGATTTGATAGTTTGTTTGTGTTTGTGGCGGATCTGAGTTGAATCTTCTTTTTTGGTTTTGTAGGAAACAAAAATGTCATGTAATGTTGTGCAAAACAAGTCAAGTAAAGCTATTGCCAAGAGATATGCGCGTTACTTTGCCAGAAGGGGGTTGAAGTATGAGAAGAGGTATGCGAACTACAACCTTAATGACGCCAGAGTCAACTTCCTGAGGAGCTGATATGTCTATATTTTACTTGTTTTGAGCATCAATTTAGCATCACTTTATCATCATTTCGTCATTGTTTCATACCATTCTTCATCATTTGTCATCACTTTGCATGATTAGGATAGTTTTGCATGCATGTTGCATATTTGAGTTGTTTTCAGGTGATTTGGAGCTGTTGGTGAGCAAATTGGAAGAAGTGGACCAGAACCCATCAGTATGCTCGACCACGAGGTCGAGCACCATCATCATGACCTTCCAAATGCACTCGACCACGACCAATTCGAGCACCAAGTCGAACACCAAGTCGAACACCAAGTCGATCACCAACTCGAGCACCAAGTCGATCACCAACTCTACCTACCACTCGACCTCATGGTCGAGTACCAGCTCTTTCACCAAGTAGACCACGACTCCAGATCACGACTCGAGCACGCAGTCGAGTATCTTCCACCAACTTACTCGACCAAGCACTCGACTGCACGCTTCAGAGGCTTCTCAGATCCCAACTCAACCAGACACTGAGCATAAGGAAGAGAAGAAGATGAAGCGGGACTCGAGTGCATACTCGACCTAGTCACTCGATCGCATCACGACCAGATCAAGAAACCGCAAAGGAGCCAGCTTTGCTCGACCTCTTCACTCGATTGGACGAAGCCGAGTGTCTCCGTAAACCGCCTTAATACTTTGTCGTCTTGTGATTTAGGGTTTCCTAGTATTTGCTATAAATAGGTTGTTTCTCATAATTTTCAGACTAAGTTTTATTCTGCAGAACAATTAGTGCTTTCTTCATATTTGTAATCCAGATTTCTCTTAATCTATTGAGTATTTGCTTTTGATTTCTTCTACAAAGTTGTTCATCTTGTTGAGATCTTGCTAATATGAAGTTTTTATGTATTTCTGGGTTTGTGTTCTTGGTTATGAATTTTGAGTAGTGATTAGGGTTCTTGAGGATGGGTTAGAGTAGTTTAGAATCCTTGATCTGGTAGGTGGTTGAGTTTGATTGGTAGATCCCTTCTGGATTAGTTGTTCTTAATGATGATTGCTTTCTGATCAACTGGAATCTGAGCCCAGACATTTCCGCACCCAAAAGGTGTTCGATGAAATGTCTGAACCACTAATTCCAGAGATTCGTGGCTCTGTACCAAGGTATTGGTTACAGGGAGCGTTTTGGCTTAGACTTGTTGTTTCGTAATGCCTGTTAGGTTAGCTCTCGTCAATGGTGATTGAGTCTGGGACTAGCTTTGCTTGAGGATCTCTGTTGCGGTAGCACTTTGATTTGGCTATTGAACTTGTTGTCTAGGGATAGTTTGTTGAGCATGTTAACCACCTATTAGATTAAGGAGACTTCACTACTCGATCACCCCATCCTCGGGAATTTCTCTTCCATTTGATTTCCTTGTTTACATCGCTATTGATTGCTTGATCTTGTTACTTGTTGCTCAGTTTTATCATTTCTACCCTGTTTCATTTGAAGTACTCGACCACACCCAGTAGTTTGGTAACAAACTGTGCAGTCGAGTACCCTGTTTACAGTTTCTGTTAAATTACTCGACCTGATACTCGACCACATCCAGTGCTTGGCATCAAGCTGTGTGATCGAGTATATTGCCTGTTATTGTTAGAATTTATGTTATCTGCATGATCGCTAGAGCTGTTAACAACACCAAAACCTGTTATTGCTTGGCTTGACTCTGTGATATCTGATTGCATCTTGATTGCTAGCATCACACCCATTTGGATTGACACCTTAAATACTGCAATGACATGATAGTACTTTAAGGATAATTCATCTTAGTTAAAATCCTACTATCAATTTGGCGCCGTTGCCGTTTGGGTGTTTGTTTGTTACATTTGAGATTTCAGACTTGCTTAGATCAAGTTCTATTTCAATTTTCACTTAGGTTACTAACTTTGTGTTTTTGTTGTTGTCTTCTTGATCCAGGTACAACCCTGCTGTATGCAAACTCGATCAAAGGCAACCAGAACCTCCTTTTCAACGATAACATTGACCGTATTGACAGAGAACTAAGGGAAATGAGAGACACTACAGACCTTGAACACAACCATCCTTTCAGAATGGCTGATGAACAAGATGTCAACAATCTGCCTGCAAACATTGGTGCTGGAGATGCACCAAGAAACCACCATCAGAGGCAAGGAATTGTGCCTCCTGCTGTCCAAAACAACAACTTCGAGATTAAAAGTGGTCTCATCTCGATGATTCAGGGAAACAAGTTTCATGGTCTGCCTTTGGAAGATCCCTTAGACCACTTGGATAACTTCGACAGGCTCTGCAGCCTAACCAAGATAAACGGTGTTAGTGAGGACAGTTTCAAGCTGCGCCTGTTTCCCTTCTCACTGGGAGACAAAGCACACCAATGGGAAAAGACGTTACCTGCTGGCTCCATCACATCTTGGGACGATTGCAAGAAGGCCTTCTTAACAAAGTTCTTCTCAAATTCAAGAACTGCAAGGCTTAGGAATGAAATCTCCAGTTTTACCCAAAAGCAGTCTTAATCCATCTGTGAGGCCTGGGAGAGATTCAAAGGCTACACTATACAGTGTCCACACCATGGTTTCAAGAAGGCTTCCCTACTAAGCACACTTTACAGGGGAGTTTTGCCCAAGATCAGAATGTTGCTGGATACTGCTTCTAATGGGAATTTCTTGAATAAGGATGTTGAAGACGGCTGGGAATTAATTGAGAACTTAGCTCAATCCGATGGTAATTATAGCGAGGATTTTGATCGCTCCAACAGAGGTATTGGAGAATCGGATGCAAAGCATAGTAAAGAGATGAAAGCTCTTAATGAGAAACTGGATAGGCTTATCCTTGGCCAGCAGAAGAATGTGCACTTTCTACTTGATGACGAGCAGTATCAAGTCCAAGATGGGGAGGGGAACCAGTTAGAAGAGGTCAGCTACATCAACAATCAAGGCGGCTACAAAGGGTATAACAACTTAAAGACTAACAACCCCAACCTTTCTTACCGCAGCACCAACGTTGCTAATCCACAGGATCAAGTGTATCCTCCACTACAACAGCAGGGTCAGAATAAACCTTTTGTTTCCTACAACCAAGGTTTTTCTCCCAAGCAACAATTTCAGGGGAACTACCAGCAGCAACCACCACCTGGGTTTGCACCTCAGCAACACCAAGGTTCTGCTGCTCCTGATTCTGACATGAAGCAAATGCTACAACAGCTTCTCCAAGGACAAGCATCTGGCTCCATGGAGATTGCTAAGAAGATATCTGAATTACACAATAAGCTGGACTGTAGCTACAATGACTTAAATGTCAAAGTGGAGGCACTGAATTCCAAAGTCCGATACTTGGAAGGACAATCTGCATCCACTTCTGCTCCAAAACATATAGGTCAACTTCCAGGCAAAGCAATTCAGAATCCAAAGGAGTATGCCACTGCTCATGCTATCACTATCTGCCATGATCGAGAGCTGCCAACTCGACATGCCACCACCTCAATCACTGAGGACAATGAAGTTCAAGATTCAGCTGAAAAGGCAACAGAGGAGCCTATACTCGATCCATCTACTCGATCACCTACTGCAGCATCTCAATATCTTGAAAAACTAGATGCTGCAATGACCAAGGATACAACCTTTGTGCCACCTCCCAAGAAATTGGGAGATCCTGGTTCGTTTACCTTACCTTGCTCTATAGGTCCTTTGGCCTTCAGTAACTGCCTATGTGATCTCGGTGGTTTTATAAGTCTCATGCCTCTCTCTGTGGCCAAGAGACTAGGTTTCAGCGAGTACAAACCTTTCAACAACTCCTTGATCCTGGCTGATGGGTCTGTTTGACTACCTCATGGGATATTAGAAGATTTGCCTATTAAGATTGGAAATGTTGAAATCCCCACAGACTTCCTAGTGCTCGAAATGGATGAAGATCCGGTAAATCCTTTAATCTTAGGGAGGCCCTTCTTAGCTACAGCCGGAGCAGTCATAGATGTCAAGAAGGAGAAGATTGATCTTAATCTTGGAAAAGATTTCAAGATGGAGTTTGACATTAATGATGCTATGAAGAAACCTACTCGACATACCCCTAAATCAATCACTGAGGACAGTGAGGTTCAAGAAGGGGAGGCTTCTAAACGGATTGAAGTCTCAGTTATTGAACTAAACCATTCAGCTGAATCCCGCCATCAAACTCAGTCTGCCTTGGAAGAGAAAGCTGCTATAATCGAGAGAATGGTAAAGCGATTCAAGCCAAGTCCTTCACCTTCACTTGCTCTCCCATGGACGTTCAGGAAAACTTGGAAAGACAAATATGAATCTCTTGCAGAGAAACAGATTGACGAGATGGAAGCAGTGATGCCATTAATAGAAGTCCTCAAACTGATTCCGGACCCTCACAGAGATGTGAGAAACTTGATATTGGAAAGGCTCAACATATATCAAGATTCAGGTGATGCATATGATACCAATCCAATTCAAGCCACTGATGAGAGGATTATTCAAGAAAAGTTGGAAGATCCTGGATCTTTCACTCTACCATGTTCCATCAAGCAATCGACTTTCAGCAATTGTTTATGTGATCTAGGAGCTTCAGTCAGTCTAATGCCACTCTCTGTGGCACGGAAGTTGGAATTTGTCCAATACAGGCCTTGCGACATCACCTTGATTCTTGCTGATAGGACTACAAGGAGATCTTTTAGCCTGCTGGAGGATGTGCCAGTAATGATTAATGGAGTAGAGGTGCCTACTGATTTTGTTGTGCTTGACATGGATGAAGAATCTAAGGATCCTCTGATCTTAGGAAGACCTTTCTTGGCTTCAGTGGGAGCAGTAATAGATGTCAGATATGGTAAGATTGATCTCAACCTTGGGAGGCATGTCAAGTTGTAGTTTGACATCAACAAAACTCCAACAAGGTCAACGATAGAGGGAAAGGGCTTGGAGATTCAGAGATCGGTTCCAGGAGAAGAATTTAAAGCTGCAAGAGTGAAGGAACCAATTCTAGTCCAGACTCAACCTTCAAACTCAGTCGCTCGATCGAGTATACCTTCAGCGTTTGATTAGCGAGAGCTCAAAAAGAAATCTGATCTCCAAGAAAGAACCGTTCAGAAGCTGACCCACACTGTTGAAAAGCTTAATAACACACTAAGGGGAGCTCAATCTCAGACCAACACTGACATTACTTCAAGAGGGAAAGTCACTTCAGGATGGTCAGAAGAAAAAGACTATCCACCAGAAGAGGAAGCAGCTTACTTTGAGGAAAGGGGAATTGAGTACTCAGCTGTACAACTATCAGAGGAGAATGCTGAGTATAACGATGAGATTAGTGAAGAAGAGGACTTCTCAAGTTCTCTCTGTCACATATTTTCAGCCTAATAAGTGTGAGGAGTCAAGCTTAGAGACTTAAAACAAGCTCACTTGGGAGGAAATCCCATGTCTATCTCTGTACATATTTTTGTTTTTTCTTGTTATTTTTAATGCATTTTCTTGTTATCAACAACTGAGTGAAGTGGATTCTGGCTCAGAGTGCAATAGAATACTCGACCACAAGGGCAAGGATCAAGTGAAGCTGTGTGATCGAGTATCAGTGGGGATTTAGTCTCAAGATTTTTGAATAAAGCAATAAAGTGAAAGAATTCACATATCATAGCGTAATCTTGAATGAGAATCTACGGGGAGGTAGAAGGAGAAGCAACTCGATCAGCGTCTATCATCGACTTTATATAGTACTCTCCCGCTTTGTACGACGACCTCACCATTGGTCCGGATGCTACGTATCTGAATCCCTGTTTACCACCAACACATTCCATTTTAGCCTTCTTTCCCATTGCATTTCTCAGCTAATAAAACTTAAAAACAGGGAAGGGAGCATTACCATTTCCATGCCAAGAAGCCGATACCTCTCAAAGGCATCTGGTGTCACGTACTCAGCTACTGGCATGTGCCGTTTAGACGGTCGCATATATTGACCAAAAGTCATAACGTCAACCCCTGCTGCTCTGACTTTCTCCATTGTCTTAACCACTTGATCAGGAGTCTCACCACATCCCAGCATTACAGAGGTCTTTGTTAAGGTGCCAGCAGGAGCATGCTCCTTAGCCATCCTAAGCACATCGAGTGACTGCTTAAAGTTAGCACGATGATCCCGCACAAAACTCTGAAGCTCTTCAACAGTCTCAATGTTGTGAGCAAGGACATCAAGCCCTGACTTGGAAACCTTCTCAACACATCCACCATCTCCACGGAAATCAGGAACTACATCATCGAAAAAAACCGAAAACAAATTCAAAAAAAAATCTCATGATCAAAACCTCAATCCCACATGACATCATTATATTACCTAGTGCTTCAATCAACATCTCCGGCTTCAAGACTTTCAATCTCTGTACTGTTTCAGCAAAATGGCCACTCCCTTGATCAGGTAAATCATCTCGATCTACACTGGTGATCACCACATAATCTACCCCCCAAGATGCAATTGCTTCAGCCACATTGTTAGGCTCATTTGGATCAGGCGGTGGAGGTGTACGCGATGTCTTCACATTACAAAACCTAAAATAGAAGCCCCTTTCAGAGAAAAGAGAGAGGAAAGATCTTGATGAATTGAGAGGAGGTACCTGCAGCCGCGTGTACACGTGTCCCCAAGGATCATAATCGTAGCGGTGGCGGTTCCAGTTTCGCCACCAGACCAGCACTCACCGAGATTGGGACATTTAGCTTCCTCGCAGACGGTGTGAAGCTTAAGGTCTCTCAATTTCTTCTTGATCTGGACATACCTCTCGCCGCCGGGAATAGATTCCTTCATCCATTTAGGTTTCGGGAGAGGTTTCTTCTTGGTTCCAACCTCCACGGAATAGGTATCGCCGTGGATGAAATCAGTTAGGGAAGGCGACTCATTCGCCAGCCGCGCTCGAAGAGCCTCGAGACTCTTGGGAGATTGCGTTACGGTTACGGGAGTTACCGGCGAGGAAGAGGAGAAGCATCTCGACGCCGGACGGAGGAATCGGGAGACTAGGGCGGAGCGCGAATGCATCTCAATCGTCGTGAGAAAAAAGTCCCGATTTAGGAGGAATGAGTTTAAGGTGACGATGAAACCCTCTAGTTCTATAAGAAGGTCTCATTTGGGCCTTTTGCTTGTAAACAAAAGCCCATTATATTCCTTGTGATAAATAAACGTAGGCCCATTAAAAAGTTTCTTTCTCTTTCGTCTGTCCGTCAAATTTTGAAAACACACAACTTTAGAACAATCGCATTTACACTCTCTCTCTCACTTGCAAAAACACATTCCTTTTCTCTTTCATTAAGATAATATAAAGAACACAACTTTTCTCTTACTCACCTTTCTCCTCCGTCTATCGAACCGGATTTGGTTCTACCAAAGAAGTAACAGAAATAAGATGAGAAGCAGAAGAACAGAGTTAAGATGAGAAGAGAATTGGAGAAGGAAGAAGAAATTAGACTCTCGTCATTGTTTTGATCTTAATCGATAAAATGTTTTCCCAGGACAAAGGAAGCCTAAATACGGAAACGTAAGAGACAATGGCATAAAACGTAAATAAGCTAAATAAGAGGACTTGGGCTTCTAAACTTCTTCTTCAATCGTCAGGCCCAATAAGGATCCACTCCAGGATCGTATCAATACTCCCCTGGTGAAGAACTACCTTGTCCTCAAGGTAGAAGAAGGGTGAACCTGGTCCACGTGGTGAGCTCCAAAAGATAGCTCCGGTGGTCTTGGAGAATGAAACAATTCAAAAGCAAGGGTTGAAGCCAAGTGATTCTCGAAATACTCCTCTTTCATCTTGACAATCCTAACTTCCGCGAAAGCATCTTCAATCCTTATCATAGGGACTAGACAGCTCTTTACCCAGTGTTTAAGATAATTGATGAGCTCTGTGTTGTTGTAAAGGACCATGAACATACTAGATCCCGCTTCCTTACTTTTCAAGAACTCTAAAACAGAACAATCATACCATTGTTCGAGATTTTGTTTCACCTTTGTTGTTCCTCTTTGTTGTTGGCCTATTCCAATTTCAAAGCGGAATACAATTACCTCTTTGACAACAGCTTCCCACCTAATAGTCAGCTTATCATGGATCTGATCTTCAACAACCTCTTCCGGTGAGGATACCTTTAGACCCACGATCACTATGATCATATCATCTTCCGACAAACTATTCAAAATGTCTGATCTTAATAACTTCATTGATGCTGATATATTTTTCCCATCAACACCACAACTTATCAACAACTTAAATCTCAGAATCATATCTTCCCCATAAGCCGCCTTAATCAATAGAGATAACATCCAGATGATCTCCAACAAACCAGTTTCTCGATACTTCTGAAATAGCTTCGACACTCTCAGATAACTATGAAAATTCTTCCTATTCTTATACTCGTCGTCCTTAATTTCAATGATTCTTGGCTTTATTTTCTTAATTCCTTTTTCCCACTTATCTTGATATATTGAGGTCTTTGATGCCTATCCTGCCACATTGAAGAAAATGATTCGTCCATCAAACCTGTTCCATGAGGCTTCTTTATTAGCCTCAATACTCTACCCAGCTCATACACACAATTAACTCCTCCTGGATCGAAAGGTCGCTTGTCACCAGTAAAGATCACAAACACATGAGGCAGCACCATGTTATCAATCGTCCATCCCTTTCCAAAAGATAGCACTTGATCTTCTCTTTTCACTTCACTGTGCTTAAGACACCACTCCTCTAAATTTATGAATCCTAATATAATCGAAACACCTTAACTTCTTCTTTTCTTTACCACAGATCAGTACTTCATACTTACTATTACTCGCCCCTGAAAGCTCCATCTTGTCCTCAAGATGATAAGATAAGTTGTATATGTCTTGAATGGCGCTGCTAAGGCTTCAAAATTCAACTTTCTACACTCATTCTCTAAATCTTGTATCTTTCTCCTGGGTCCTTTAAGGCCATGGAACTGAATCATCTGTTGCTTTTCTTCTATCATCCAAATAGTTTGTACACCAACTTTGATCTAATAACAACTTCCTTGAAACCTGACCACACTTGCAGTTTTATACCATGAAAACAGAGCTGCAACTTCTGAATCTTGTATTCACAGGAGTATATGTCTACCCCATATCTCCAAGTTTCCATACTAACATAAGAACACACTATCAATTTACCAAATGTTTTTCTCCCAACCTGCAAATCAAATGAGTGCCACTTCGACTCTGTGAACCATGAATTCTTATGCACCTCTAAACATCGGTAAAAGTGCAGCCACCTATACATTTTATACTCACATGAATCGGCTCCTAACTCATTCCATCTTTTTATATCAACTCTAGAACGCAACTGACCCCAAAAACTCTCCTCAGGTTGCGTCTTCTTTTCCACAAAACCTTCATAAGCACCGTATAGAGGAATACTCAATCTAGTATTCTTAAGCATCTTTGTTTCTATCTCAAGCTCTTAAACGATAATAGCTTTTGCACCTTTATATCATAAACCAACCATTCACATTCATTTTCTAATTTTTGAACACACAAACAACCCAATAACATCAACACATCATCCATTCTCCCGCTATAGACTTTCCTGAACCATTCCCTCATAATTTCTAGCCACATAATTCAACCTGGTTCCCAAACATAGTTAGCAAGTACAGGATTGTAATGTATTATCTCATTCATACCAGCCTGAACTGCGAAAGTCAAAATTTCATCACGATGACACAGTCGATCGTGGGATGGCACTCGAAATTCCTTCACCATACTTATACTAACCTGAAAACTGCTTTCATGAGATCTCTGCCGCTTCATCAACATTAAAACTCACTAACCAGTCCCATAAAATTCGTTCAGCTAAAATTCCCCCAGGTTCCCACACACACCTACTCCAAGATAGACTACTGAGGTGTTCTTTCTCTACACAAACTTTGTTTACATGAGATAGCACATTACACCATGAACTGTCCATGGTCGCTGAATTCTTCTTCATCGATATTTTGCTTAGAACCACTTGGTGTTCACTTTTCTTTCTTCCTCTTTTGTATCGAGCTCTATGATACCTTCGTTGACTGAGATCTTTCTAACTCCCAGATTTTTCCTTGCCAGAAGAGTATAAGAAAACTTGCATCCATGAGTAACTTCGCTCTCTGTGTTCTGAATCCATGCGTCCACACACTCAAAACGATCTTCAGTCTGCTTGATTAGTCCCAAATCGTCGTCTTGCAAATCCATTTTTGGATTTTTCTGTCGAAAAATCCACCATTGAAACTTCCTGTTTCTGGCCCGCCACTTGCTCGACGAAATTCCCCAGTGATATTTTTGAGTTTTCCATCGGCAAAAGAACATCTACACTTGATTCCTGTGTTTGTTAAACCTCTTGCGTCTGCTCGTGCTCTTCAGTCGTTGGTCGGAGGGGATAAGCTCGGTCGTAGTCGTCTCCGAATCTTTGCTTGAGGAGCTTTATGAAGCCATCCCTTAGGTTCATATCGTGCCTTACAACCTCCAGCATCGTCTGCCTCAGCTCCTCTGTAGATATGTCCCAATTTGTGTCCCAACCTGTCTCGAGTCCTGAAGAAACCATCATCACAAACCACTCTCAACGAAAGCACCAATTGATAGAACCGGATTTGGTTCTACCAAAGAAGTAACAGAAATAAGATGAGAAGCAGAAGAACAGAGTTAAGATGAGAAGAGAATTGGAGAAGGAAGAAGAAATTAGACTCTCGTCATTGTTTTGATCTTAATCGATAAAATGTTTTCCCAGGACAAAGGAAGCCTAAATACGGAAACGTAAGAGACAATGGCATAAAACGTAAATAAGCTAAATAAGAGGACTTGGGCTTCTAGACTTCGTCTTCAATCGTCAGGCCCAATAAGGATCCACTCCAGGATCGTATCACACTCACATCGTCAGGATTCAGAATGAGATCTGGAAGAGACAACAACATCTGCTTCCTGGGTTTTCTTGTCTTTTTCCTTATCTCCTATCTCTCCTTGTCACTTGCTCTTACCAATCCTGACGATGGTATTCTCTTTTGTTCCCCTTTGTGTAATGGTAATGTTAGTATAGCTAATCGAACCATGGTTGTTTGCTTCAGTTGCGGCTATTAACAGCCTCTTCCTTGCACTGGAATCTCCTCTTCTCCCTGGTTGGGTTGCATCTAGAGGTGATCCATGTGGCGAGAGCTGGCAAGGTGTTTTATGTAATGCTTCCCAAGTAGAAACCATGTAAAAGAAAAAACGACACCTTCCATCTTCTTCTCACTTTTCTTTATCATTCTTCTAACAATATGCTCACCCTTTTTCAGAATTCTCATCAGTTCCAATCTTGGAGGAGAGCTTGGTGTGGTTTAAACATGTTTACTTCTCTTAAAGCAATGTACTTTCCTCTCTAAGTTTTACTATCACTTTTGTTTCTTTAATCTGCTTCTCTTCTCATTATTACCTTTTTGATGTCTTGTCTTTCTCAGGGATTTTAGCAACAATCACATTGGAGGAAGTATCTCATCAACGCAAAACTTTTAAAAAACTTTACTAGATTTTTTTAAGAGTTTTTAAAGGGTTCTTAAAAATTTTACTAGGATTTTTAAATGTAGTTTTTGGTTGGGAAAAAATTTCTTACAGGAAAAAAATTTTGGAGGGGGAAATTTTTTTTTTGGGCGGAAAAAAAAAAATTTTGGTGGGAAAAATAAATTTTGGTGCCAAAATTTGTTGGCGAGAAAATTTCAGTGTTCTCATTAGATAAGGGTAATTTGGTCATTTTGTTCAAGAGAATGTGCATTTTTAAAAATGGACAATAGAAAAGGGTAGTAGACAAAGGATATTTATGCAAATCTCCCAAATATTAATTAATTTTAAATCATTTTGTTTTCACCTCTCATCTAACATAAACAAGATACTATATATATTTTTATTAAACAATATGTATTTTGATAGAATAAAAAATATGTAATTAGTTGTAAAGTTTCCATTTTACCTTGATGAAAAATATAAAATTATTTATTCTAATTTGATAAAACAATTTAAATATGCATACTAAATTAAATTACTAAATTTTATATGGACCACGGGTTAAATCTACCAACACTAAAAAATTAAATAATATAATTTAAATAATAACTTTAGAAAAATGGAACCTGTAAAAATAAAATGTTTCTTACGGGTTAAATCCTATAATGTAATAAATATTATGTATGGACCTTCTTACTTTACAAAACCAAATTCTTTTTTATAAAATTCTATGTACATCAAACAAACCATAAATTATGTATCTTATTATATAAAGTATGGTTTTCAAAGTTAATAACTCATATGATCGTGACACGTGGCAAATCTATTGATCTTAGATTTGAC